AAATAAAATATATAATTCAATTTGCAACAACTATTATTATAAATTGTTTAAACAAATAATTGTTGCTATTTATTAACATTCTTCATAATATTCCTAGAAAATTGCAATTTTTTTCTAATTTTGCAACTTAACAAGCACAACATAATAACACAAAGATTTTATATGAATTTACTATTTAACCAATTGTTTAAACAATTGTTGAATTTACAATTTTACATCAAATCTATCTTTTATTATATTCGGCTTGATGAGTTGCAAAATTAGAAAAAAGGCAACTTTCCAGGTGCCGTACAAAAAAAGTTAGTAAATAACAACAATAAATTGTTTAAACAATTGTTGAATTAATAATTTTACATCAAATCTATCTTTTATTATATTCGGCTTGATAAATTGCAAAATTAGAAAAAAAATGCATCTTTCTAGGTGCAGAACAAAAAAAGTTAGTAAATAATAACAATAATTGTTTAAACAATTGTTGAATTAATAATTTTACATCAAATCTATCTTTTATTATATTCCGCTTGATAAATTGCAAAATTAGAAAAAAACTGCATCTTTCTAGGTGCAGAACAAAGAAAGTTAATAAATAATAACAATAAATTGTTTAAACAAATGAAAAATGAAATATAATATTTTTTATATCTACTATTTGACATCATAAAACACTCACAGTGAAAAGTCTGCATGATTTCAAGTCTTTTTGTAAAATAGAATTAAAAAAATATCTGAATTATCCCCGTTATCTCCGTACATACATTGATAAAAGTTATAAATAATCAAGAAGAAATTTTTTTTAAAAATTTGTTTTTACATTTTTTGAAAGTTCTTAAGATTTTGTTCAGTGACTTAAAATCGCGATTCAATTAAGGCAAAACTTTAGAAGATATGGCAATTTCAATTTGTCTGGCCCACCCTGGGTGGGCATCTTGTCAAGCGAAGGTTAAAGTTTTAAAATTATTTAAAAAATTGTTAATAGAATAATTTTTATTTTATTTCTTTTTTAATTATTAGATGAAATATAAACTAAGTACTAAATCCCAATAGAGTAAAAGGAATTTAAAAATATGTAATGTTAATACAATATTTATTTAAAAGTATCTTCAGCAAAAACAGTTAAATATTAATTTTTTTAAAAGAGAATAAAACAGAGATGACCATATTTCATTTTAACTATATTTTACTTACTTCCAATCATCTATCTGTTCTCCTACTTTGAGGTACTTAAGCAATTTCTCCTTTTCACTTCTAATTATCAAATGCACTAACAGAGTCCTTGATTGATCACTGAGGAAGTTTCTGTTATCAATGTAGGCCTTGAGAATTACCTTCCCTTCGCCACTGCTCTCCAAGAAATGTTGTAAAACCTGAAACAAGTAATATTGCTAAATATTTAGGCTAACAAAAACAATAATTTTTCAAATTAATTTTATTGATTTATGTATCTTCTTAATTAAAATCAATGTTTTTATTTAAATTAAATCAGTTCGTAAAAAACAGTAAATTATAATACAATGTAAGTAAGTTATTTTCATCATAAAATAGTATTTTTTCGAAAATAGGTAATTAAATTGTACCAAAAATTGTTATAAATAATACCTTCTCATGTGATGAGAATGTAAAAATATTGAAGTTTATACAATAACAAATTTATATCTATTGAAAAAGTCGCCAAGTTAGAGAGTATTTAATAGTTATTAATAATTATAATATTTCATGGAATTTAATTTTTTATTACTTACCCAATTCGAAGTGTTTTTGACTGAAGATCCTGAAGTACAATCAGTTTGCTCTAAACGGCAATCATTTAGCATTGAACTGCTATCATTTTGCTCTAAAGTGAAATTAAGTACGTCTTTTTCTAAACAGGATCCATTATAATGTACACTTTCTTGTACAATAGAAATCAATTTCTCACTTAAATCGTTATCATTATTTGTAGATACATTTGTGAACAAACAGGGAGCACCGACATCAACAATATTTGACCTCGAAACAGGACTCAAATCTGTAAACTGCTTGTTTACACTGCCTTCAAACTCGTACGATTCTACACGGCAACAGTTCTGGAATTTAATTGAAAACTTAGAACTCGAATATAAGTTTTTAAAATTAAGTAAAATTCCCCTTTCACATTATTCATTATATTTTATATAAATGCTTACATTAGGCTGCAGAGAATCCATTTCGAAACCTAATATAAAAAAATTTTATAAGTAATAAAAATCTACTTTGAAAAATAAAAAATAAAAATTGTGTTTTGTAAATTAAGAAACAAATGAATTTAAAAAATAACAATAATGACACAGAGTAATAAATAATAAATATTATACTCACCATCAATATTTCAATAAAACAAAAAACTCTCACAATAATAAAAATCACCGGAATACACATTAAACACGTGCGAAACTTGAGAAAAAGCGGCACAACTGAATATTTAACAGGCTGATATGCGCAGCAGGCTAGCGCGCAACTGACACATGCGCAATTCTACAAAATCTTTTAAACAGTATAATAATTTTCTTAAGCATGGTTTGGAAATTTGTCTAGAATCATCTTTCTCATAAGTATTAAAAGAGTTTAGGTTCTGTATAATGATAATTTCGTAAAATATAATATTAAATTTACTACATCTGAAAGTATTTCTTTCATTATGTAATAATAATTATTAGCTATAATTTTCTTAATACGTCTCAGACATTTTATTATACACATAATAAAATTGCTTAAAAGTCTTGAAAGAAACTTTAGCAAATCAAATAAATATTAAAATTATCCCATTTCATCCAACTTTTCAATACCAGTATTAAAATATTCTTTACATTTTTTCTTTCCGTGTAATATTTTCTCCTAAAATCCTTCTCTCGACTGTCACACGCATTCCTCATACTACAATCAACAATAATCCTCCACAATTTTTTTTCCTCAAAAATTCATCTATGTCATTAATAAATAATGAAAACAGATGCGGACTAAGTACTTCTCCTTGGAGCACACCTTGAGAAACTTTGACAAAATATGTTTTTTCCTCGCTACTCCTCACACAAGCCATAGACTTACTATATAGGTCCTGAACAATTTTTCTGAACCTCACACTTATGCCAAGCGAGTGTAGCTTACTCCACAGAATATCATGGGATACAGAGGGGAAAGCACTCTTAAAATCTACAAGCAAAGCATAAACCACCCCCTTAGGATTATTTAAATGAATCTGTATTGCAGCTTGCAATGTAAAGAGGTTATCCAAACACCCTCACAGAAAAAAGGTGGGTAAAAAGTTGTAAAGATAGAGGATAAAAGTCGTTAGGATACAGGGTAAAGGATAAATTTGTGATGGATAAAAATGTTACTAAAATATTACTAAAAAAATGGATGTCATATTTGAGTAAACTGTCGACTTTTAATAAAAATATAAGTAATTTTACACTTAACTTATTAAATCCAGAAATTTTTTATAAATAAGTAATTGCATGTGGAAATATTTTGCCTATAATTATTGTCTATTAATAAAAATGTCTTTGACTAATACAACTGACAGCTGACGACAGTCCGTAAATAATCAGAACTGGGAAATTACAACTCAACGTCTGTATTGTTGCACGAAAGCAGAGTTGGGTAGTAACTGAATTTTTTGTGCAAAAAAAGTGTCAGTTCATGGCTGTGTCAGTTCATCGAGATATTTCGAGTTCAAGATATGACGTCAGAGGCCTGGAGGCACAACAAACAGACGATACAATGTTATTCTTACGGGGAACAAAATTTGTTTCCACTTTCATCAATTTTATTCATAATTTAATTATGGAAAACGTTTGTTGACATATAATAAAATTAAAATGTGTGTTGATAATTAATTTTGTTATATATTTGATTCAATTGCATTTATAGATTCTCTGAATTCGTGATAAAATATAAATTTTGAGGTTAGGGGTGTTTGTTTACTAACTTGAAATCTTTTACTGCTGCGGTAATTCCCACTTAAAATATATATTTTATATCTTTTTTAATAACATGCATACTGGATATTGTTTAATAATGTTAAAATGTAAAATGTCACGAATTCAAAGAATCTATCAATGCAAATGAATCAAATATATAACAAAATTAATTATCAACACACATTTTAATTTTATTATATGTCAACAAACGTTTTCCATAATTAAATTATGAATAAAATTGATGAAAGTGGAAACAAATTTTGTTCCCCGTAAGAATAACATTGTGTCGTCTGTTTGTTGTGCCTCCAGGCCTCTGACGTCATATCTTGAACTCGAAATATCTCGATGAACTGACACAGCCATGAACTGACACTTTTTTTGCACAAAAAATTCAGTTACTACCCAACTCTGCTTTCGTGCAACAATACAGACGTTGAGTTGTAATTTCCCAGTTCTGATTATTTACGGACTGTCGTCAGCTGTCAGTTGTATTAGTCAAAGACATTTTTATTAATAGACAATAATTATAGGCAAAATATTTCCACATGCAATTACTTATTTATAAAAAATTTCTGGATTTAATAAGTTAAGTGTAAAATTACTTATATTTTTATTAAAAGTCGACAGTTTACTCAAATATGACATCCATTTTTTTAGTAATATTTTAGTAACATTTTTATCCATCACAAGTTTATCCTTTACCCTTAACCTTTATCCTTGTATCCTAACGACTTTTATCCTCTATCTTTACAACTTTTTACCCACCTTTTTTTCTGTGCGCTCTTCCCCCTCTCAATGCCGACTGAAACTCGTTAATTACGTTATATTCCTTTTCCCATGTCAATAATCGATCTGCCATCGATATGAAATTTAATGGGGTAAATATGTAATTGGAAATATAAGGTTAATTTAGAAATTATTTTGGTTTTTAATATTTCTACAATATACTATTTATCGGAAAAAGAAAATTAAAACCATCGACAATTGGTGTACCATCGGTAACTTACCCTATATTTATTTATTAAAGATATTTCTTTAAACAATAATTTTTTAATCATATTTCAGGTTTGGGTTTCAGACCTCAACCACCATCAGAAAATGTTGAAAGTACCTTAATTTGGTACAAAGCAACAGATTCAGATAACTTTAAATACTGGGTGAAATCTTTAGAGGAGTTTTTGACAGGTAATTATTATTTTACCATTTCTAAAAAAGAAAATAAAATACTTAGTATTATTATTTATTTATTCTTGTATACTATGTACATAAAAATCTTAGTTATAATTTGCAAAATAAATAGCAACATTTTAATATAAAAATTAATGATAAATTAGTTATTAAATTTTAATTTAAAAACAATATTTTTATACATACCAATTTCATGCGTTATAGAATATAGAACTCCAGGAAAAAGAACTGGTTTAGGAGCAAATATTTATAACTGTGAATATGGAAATAATCCTCCACCCGGACAAGTATGCGATGTGGATATTTACAAATTTCATCCATGCACTGAGAAAAATTTGTTTAATTATCATAAATCAGCTCCATGCATCTTTTTAAAGCTGAACAAGGTAAAGTTTTGTGTGATGAAAAAAAAGACGCATGAATATGCTTTAAATTAATTTTAACCGAATTTTTATTTTTTCGACTTATTATTTAATAGAAATTCTGAATTTCTTTATTACAGAATTGTTTCTTAAGCGAATTTTACATTTACATATTTTTTATTTCATCGATTGAATTTGACTGAATTATTATTTGATCGAATTTTCATTAGACATAAGTCTGAGAATTTTTTACTAGATGAATTTTCATTTGTTTGAATTTACATTTGACGGAATTCTTAGAAAACCGAATGCTTATTTTACAGAAATTTCATTTGTCTGGATTCTTTCTTATATTCTTTTTGTAAAATAAAAATTCCTTTAAATGACTATTATTTCGAATGAAAATTTTAGCAAATAATAATTTTGTCAAATTCAAATTTGATGATATAAAAAATCTATAAAATTAAAATTCGCTTAATAATTCTGTAATATAGAAATTCATTCAAGGGTAGGTCCTTGTAAGGCAGCGCCATCTACATTAAAACTAAAATTTCGGAAAATTTTTAACAGTACTACTCAAAAATATATATATTTTGTTCTTTAGGATAATTTACCATTCGATAAATTACGTATGAGCACTTTTTTTGGATGGTGTATTTTTGCCAATAATAAATTGTTCTAAAGAACAAAGCATTTTGTTTTGTTTTCAAGTAAGTTCTGATTAAAATTTTTCGAAATTTTAGTTTTTGATGTAGATGGCGCTACCTTACAAGAACCTACCCTTAATTTTTGAGAACTCAGTTCAAATTTATTATATTATATTATTTTATATTTCATAAAATGAAACATGAAACAAGTACGAAAATGTTCACCTTGTGATAATTTTATTAACAGACTTGCAGGAAATTTGCAGTACAAAATTGTAATGAATACTTGTGGGCTGTAATTGTACAAAGCAGCTGTAACTATGCAATAAATTTAAATGATTTATAAGACAAAGAATCATATATTTACACTATAGTTGCTGTTAGTTTCCTGCAAACTTTTAGCCCAATATAATACTACCTGCAAAAATGTTACACTGAGAAAAATGTTTAGTCAGAGCAACCAAAATTTGGTTGGACCAACAAAAAAATTTTGTTGGTATTTAAGCAACCAAACTATTTGTTTGAGTCAACTAAAAAATTTGGTTGAGTGTTTTTTGTTGGCATAACAAAAATGTCTGGTTAGCTCAACCAAATTTTTTTTGTTAGGTCAACAAAAATGTTTGGTTGATCAAACAAACAGTTTTTTTTGTAAAATTAAAAATTTTATTCTACCTTATTTCTTTTCTTTTTTTATTTGTTTCATTATTTATTTATTATCAATTTAACATTAAATTTATATTTATCCAATTGAAATATTTGTGGACTTTGAAAAATCTCATCTCCGTCTGGGATCGAACATCTGTTTTAAAACTGAAGATCGGGAGCTCTGATCACTGGACTACCCATCCTAGTGAGAGATTTAAACTAACTGTTCTCTTGAGCTATGAGCTGAGAGCGAATCAAATTATTTAGTTGTCGCAACCAAATTTTGGTTAGGACAACAAACGATCATTTGGTTTTTTAGACCAAACTATTTTGTTGTGTTAACCAAATTATTTTGTTGTCGTAACCGAATTTTGGTTGGAATTTAAAAATGTTCAACCAAATAATTTTGTTGGCCAAACCAAATGTTTGGTTGAGATAACTCAACGACTTTGTTTCAGCCAACCAAAATTTGGTTACAAGAAGCATAATTGCCTAATCAAACAATTTTGCTGCGAACACTAAATTTTTTTTCTCAGTGTATAAACCAGTGAAACTGAAGTAATCTTGAATTAAAGTTAAAAGTTTGAAACTAAAACTATACCATTATAGAAGTATCGTCACGAGTAATGATTTTCGGCAAATTCAGGTTGAAGAATCCACGAAAATTTCGTTGGAAATTCAAACATAAATATTTTTTAGTGAGGATGGTAATTTTGTTTTGAATTTAATATTGTAATTAAGATGGTAAATAGGTTTCTCTTATTAAGTATTTCATTAACCTAATCATATCTGATAAGGTAGAAATTTTATTGACCAACAGTCAAATCTGTATGTACGAAACTCGTACAAATATTTTCGTGCATGGTTTCTGAAAAAAGTGGATCGCCTCTCGCTGCTGGGGTATGATCCCAGAACCTTCTTATTGCCGGTAAGATGCTCTACCAATTGAGCTACAGAGAGTTCTGGGATCATACCCCAGCAGCGAGAGGCGATCCACTTTTTTCAGAAACCATGCACGAAAATATTTGTACGAGTTTCGTACATACAAATTTGACTGTTGGTCAATAAAATTTCTACCTTATCAGATATGATTAGGTTAATGAAATACTTAATAAGAGAAACCTATTTACCATCGTAAATAAATATTTTTTTTTTACAAATAATAAAAAAATTATTTTTTAACTTTTTAAAATTTTCAGAAACTTCAGGAAAAACTACATAAATATGTAAATAAAAAAAATTTGCAATCATCTTACTCGTAACTTTAACTTAAAATTTAAAATACACATAAAATTTGTAAATTAAATAAAAACTTCAATCCGATTTGATGAAATAAAACTAAGTGTTCATTTCATGACCATTTAGCTTCCTCATCATGATACACTTATATTCAAGATTAAAAGAGGGATTACAACTAAAATAGCGATCAATTTTACAAATATTGGTAAAATGTAAACTTTATATACATCAATCGATTCGTTTTTATGCCAGGAATACAATTTTGACAAGAATTAATTAAAATTTTTATATCAGAAAAAGTTATTTCAAAAAATACAAAAAACGATTATTTTCAAAAATTCAAAAAAATGATTTAATCTATAGATTTCAGTAAAATATGAACTTTATATAGGCTAATCGACTCGTTTTAATGCAAGAAATAAGTTTTTTTTACTAAACAAAATTAAATTTATAAAGAAAAAAATATTTAGAAAAAAAAATTTTTTTTTTAATTTTGAAAAAATTGTAAAAAATAAAATGTTGTGAATATATTCGGAAAACCTTGTGTCAGATTTTAGGTATTAATGATTACAATAAGCATACAAAATTTCAGGACAATCCGTTAAAACGTTTCTGAGATAATTTGTACACAATATTTTGTGACATACACACACACATACATCTGCACATTTGCTCAGGACTTCATATATATATTATTTTTAGTTGAAAATGAGTCTATATAACCCAATTTTAAAAAATCGAAAAATGTCACTAATGCAAAGCTTCCTCATGAGGAAGCAAAATTAAATCTTTATTCTTTATTTACAAATTTAATGTTTAGTTTAACTTTTTAAATGTGTTAAAGTTTCGAATTCGATGTTTTGAAATTTCATACTAATTTGATCTTTAGTTTTATCGGTTATTTTTATGAATTTATAACCAACGACAATTTAAAAAAAATTGAAATTATGAAAATTTTAAAGAATTTGATGAAAAGAATTTTTGGAAATATTAGAAATTTTAAAATAACATTTTTATTAATTGCAAAAAAATTTATTGTAATTTTAATCGAAATTTTTACAGATTTTCCAATTTCCAATTGGAATTTCTAATAAGAATTTCCAGAGAAAATGTTTGTTCTCTTAAAACAAAAATGTTTACATTGTTTATGAAAATAAAAAATTTTCAGATTTATGGATGGAGACCTGAGTTTTACAATAACACCGAAGAATTGCCATCAAATATGCCAGAATCATTGAAAAGTCATATTCGTACCTTGAAAATGCAAGATTCTCGAAAGCTGAATACAATCTGGGTATCTTGTGAAGGTGAAAATCCAGCTGATGAAGAAAACATTGGTCCTATTGAAATAATACCAAAAGAACAAGGATTTCCTGGTTATTATTATCCTTTTGAAAATGCAGAAGGATACTTAAGTCCATTAGTTGCTGTGCATTTCAAACGATTAACAAGTAAGATACCTTCTTATTTTACAAAATAAAATTAAACAATAATTACCTAATTTATTCAAAATCAATTTATTCAATCAAAATACCTATATAACTTTTTTTGGTGCAAACTGAAGATATTTCAAAATTCAATTATTTTGAAAATTTGAATTCTCTAAAAGTCAATTATTGTCTCAAATTTATTTTAAAAATCTTCAGCAATTCAAATTTTATTATTTAAGGGGAAATTTAAGTATTTATGTATTTTTTAATTTAATTTATTATTTAAGTGAAATTTCAGCCTATCGAAATTAATGTTGTTAATGGATATACATTTTTTTCTGTCATTATTTAGGATCTAATATTATATATTATTAAAATTAAAAAAAATTATTTTTTTCCATTTTGGAAATTTGTTTTTTTTTTGCAAAAATTAAAAATGTTTAAAATCCATCCGATTGATTGTTCAGAATAATAAAAAAAACGTATAAAATTTCGACGATGAAAAATAATTAAAATTGTGGATGAAGTTGAATTTTTAAAGTAAGTAAAATTTAAACCAATCAAAATTAATCTTGTTTAGGGGTAAACAATTTTTTTTGGCATTTTCTCAGAATCTGAAATCACATTTCACTATGAAAAATAAAAAACATTAATTTTAGAACTATTTTACAAATTTTCTTTTATTTTTCAAATTTTCTTTTATTTTTCACATTTTTAATGTTTTAAAAAATTTTTGTATTTTAAAATCTAAACGTTTGATTGTTTAAAATCAATAAAAAAAGCCTATAAAATAATCACCAATAAAAATAAAAGAAATTGTGAGAGAAATTCAATTTTTTAATTTTCGAGAATTTTTAGTTTTATTTAAAAAAATATTAACAAATTAATGGTTTTTTAATTTTTCATATTATATTAATATTACTCAACTTTGTCAGGAAACAAATTGACAATCCTAAACAATATTAATTTTGTTGAATTGAAATTTAACCGGTCTTTTTCCTTCTAAATTACAAATTATTATTTAGAAAATTTTTTAATTATTTAATTTAATTAAAAAATTTTGAATATTTAATTATTGTCTGTAATTTATAAAAAGTTTTTAGCAATTAAATTTTACAAAAATTTCAATTTAAAATCTCTTGTAATTCAATTATTTCTAAAAATCTTAATTGTGAACACGATATCTTTAACAGGTTTTAATGAATTTGGATAAAATTTGGTAGGCTTATTTATCACATTAATCTCTCAAAAATGACGAGAGGATTTTTAAAAATACCAAAAAAAAAATTTTATCGCCTTTTTTCTAAAATTTTTTTTTAATTGAAAAAATTTTTAAATAGAAAAATTTAAGGTTGTATATAATATAATCGTCTTCCTTACACCAAGACCAATCGATTGATATATATAAAGTATAGATTTGATTGAAATTTAAAGAATTAATGAAAGTTAAAAAATCAAAAATTTACATTTTAGCTAAAAAATTTGGTGTTTTTTTTAATTCAAGTTAATACATAAAATAATTGAATTCCTTGCATTGAAACGAATCGATTCGTATATATAAAGTATATGTTACACCCAAAATGAATTAAAATTTTCTTAATTTTTCAAAAAATTTAAATAATTTAAATCAGTTTTTAACTCGAAATGTTTTAAATCAATCAATTGAATTAGAAAAATTCATAGCTTCCTCCACGAGGAAGCAAAATGTTTATGAAATAAATATAAAGAACCCCTCCTGGTTTATCCAGTTCTTATAAAATTTAATTATTTAAAACATTTTCAGGTAAAAATACTCCTATTTCCCATAAAGTATGTTATTTTTAAAAAGTTACTGACATTTTTTAACCATTTAACGATTGATTGTTCAGAATGATGAAAAAAGTTTTTAAAAAATTGTCTAAGAAAAATATTAAAAACTGTGAAAGAAGTTCAAATTTCAATTTTTCCTGACTTTTAAGTTCTATTACAAAAGTTCTTAATTAATAATTTTTTTTCTAAATTTTCATGATGCTGCATCATGATCCTTAACCCCTTTTATACCTCTATTACTTGTCATAGAATATGTGGTCTCAAAGTGTCAACGACGTTTATACATGTTCCCAATATTGAACTTATTAGAATTTTTAAGATATCGAATTAAAAATTATCGAATTTTATATTTAACAGAAGTTTATAAAATAAATTATAAAATCCAACAGAATTTTTATATCGTAAAGTTTTCATTTAGCCGGACTCAGTACCGGTCCTAGCCTTGTTTGCGCCCTTGGGCAAATTTTTCCAGGCGTCGCTTGTAAGGAAAGGAAATTGAGAAGACGATACCAATATTAGTTGTTAAATGTCAAAAATTTAGCCAATAGCATTCTTACCGGGTAGAGTGTCTGTTATGTAAAAGTTCAGTTGAATATAAAATCTACTTTATAAAATTCTTTTAAATAGAAATTCGATAATTTTTAGTTCAACACCGCGAAAATTCTTGTAAGTTCAATGTGGGGAATATTTATGCGTCCCATATATTTGAATAGTTTAAAAAAAATTTTTTTTATAGTTTACTTTTTTAACCCTCAGGATACTGTGACTGGGTTAGCGTAACCCAGGCGAAATTTGAAAGTTGCGCTATTTCTAAAAACACCGTGTATATTTTCCACTGTAACTTTAGTAATTAAAAAAATATCACAAATCTGATAAAACCATCACATCTCTCAGAAAATTTCACAATTTGTAAAAATAGTTTTGATAAATGATTGCATAATATTCTTAAATTTAATTTTTCAGGAGGAATTCTGATAAATGTTGAATGCAAAGCATGGGCAAAAAATATAATACATAATCGCCATGAAAAATTAGGATCTGTACACTTTGAGTTGATGGTAGATTGATGTATTATGCGTCACATCATCATCATCAGTGATAACATTTAAATAAGGAATCCAAAAAATATACTATTCATATCGTCAAGCGTGTCTTCTTTGTGTTTTATGAAAGTACGACTTTTCTTGCGTACAAAAAGAAAAAAATATATATGTTTGGGATAAAAAATAATTCTTAAAGTTATCTTTCGAAAATGTATTATTGAAAAAACTAAGTATATATATTTTTTAACATCTTTATTACAAATAAAATAAACAATGTTAAACTTGTTTTGTCGTGTAAAGCAGGACATTGTTCAAAAAAAATTGAGATTATTACAATTGTTAAGTGAAATTTTAAAATACTTTTGAAAATACTTTTAAAAATACTTTGAAAAAGTTAAATTAACTTTTTAAATTTTCTGCATAAAGAATTACCCAATAAGAAATAATTTAATTATTTCTAACGTTTTTAGATACAAAAGATACTCTTTCTATCTTTTGATTCTAAAACATTTTTTATTCTGTCTTTATTTTGTATAAACTCTGCTTTATTTAATGTGTGAACTATAGTGACAAGAGAAACAAAACCTTAATTATTTATTCAGTTAATACAATTATATATATATATAAATGAAAAAGAAACAGCTTAGAATTTTAATTCTTATATGTAATAAAATTTTGTTAATTGGAAAATAATTGTAATTATGAAAAGCATATCAGTTATACGAAAGTTTTATATCAATTGTGTCATAATAATAAAGTTTTATAAAAACTTAACTCTCTACAAGGGCAGGATTTTTAATATACAAATGTGCCTTAATTAAAACGGTTATGAAAAGTTTTGTGTGTTTATTCGTCTAAGAAATTTGTGCATGAAGAGAAGAATACAGTCAGTTAGTTTTTTCTTCTTCTTCTCTTCGTGAAGTTGTTTGGATTGTAACATATTTTTATGCCGATGAAATTTACAATATGAACTATAAACGTGTTCACAACAGAACAAAAATGTAATTGTCAAAGAATATTTATTTAAAAAATTAATAAGGTTTTCTCAATATTTATAGAGAAATAACTTAAGTTTTCATTTAAATTTTTTTCTCCTATTTAATACTATCATTTTTTGGGGGAAAAAAAGAGAAAAAAACCTCCAAGATGTGTTATAGAGGATGGAGGCCCTAACATAATCTCAAAACTGAAAAATGAATTTTAACGAAAACAAAAATTCAATGAAAATAAATTTTAAACAATTTTGGAACTATTTAGTTGTACGCTTTCCGGAAAAAAATATGTTGAATTAAATTCTTTTGTTAAATAATTTTTTTTTAATTTTTACTTTTTTCTTTCAGAACAGACAAAAATCAGAATTTTTATCTCTATGTAAACTTTTTTCAATTGTTAAAAGTATATTACTAAAAAATTATTTAATAAATATTTGTGTTTATAATTTTTTTAACAATATACCTACTTTTATTGTATTTATTTAATTACAAACCTCCTAGGGATAATCAGTATTCTAAAGAATAATTACAATAATGTAAGCTATTGTTTATAAAAATTCGATAAAAATTGCTTTTTTTGTCTAACCTGAAAGAAATAAGTCAAAATGAAAAAAAAATAAAATTATTTATCAAAAGATTTTCACTCAATATAATTTTTTTAAGGAAAATGTATAACTAAATTTTTCCAAAATTGTTTGCAATTGATTTTTATTAAATTTGTGTTAACGTTAAAAATTATTTTTCAGTTTTGAGGTTATGTTAGGGGCTCCATTCTCCTTAATGTAACAAAAAAAATATTATATTTTTTACTGTTGTGAACACAAATTTTCCAGCAGATCGTTAGTAAAAAATATCATATTACTTTTTCACTCACGTATTTGTTTACAAATGAATATATAATATATTAAAACAGTGTATATAGAAAAGTAGTACATTTTTGAAAAAATAAAACCAATAGTTGAAAGGTACATTTTTGGAAATATATTCTAAAGAAAATCCTAACTCAGTTTTTTCGTATTTAATTAATTCTGAACAATAGAGATCTCAAGCAGTATCTAAAAATTAATTAAAATGATTTCTAAAAAGTAATTGCAGGATTTTTACTTCTAATTTAGAAAAAAAATTTAATTTACGTTGAACAATATTAAAATGTTAATATTATAACTATGAACGACTGCAGAAATAATGTCACACATTTATCAAATTGTTGTAAGTAATGGAAAAAAATTTAATAATATATAAGAAAAATTTAATGAAAAATATGTCATATAAATTTATTTTTAATTATTTTTCAATTTCTTCTTAAAAATGTACCTTTTTCCTAGGTTGGTTTAATCTCTTTTTAGCGCACGAATATCCAATAATGTTCATTAGTCAGAATGTTCATTTGATGTGAAATTTCGATAAAATTTTCTTTTATTCGAATTTTTATTTTTCGAATTTAATCAAAAATTTTAATTTATAAATTAATAATTAATAATAATTTTTAATTGATAAAAAGTTTACATTAAATAAAATGCTAGTAAAAAGAAATTCGTTAAAATAAAAATTATCCAAAAAATGTGTTGAGTAAAAATTCGTTTAAAAATAAATTCTGTCAAATGATAATTCAAAAAAATAAATTTTCTGCTAAAAAAAATTCTATCTAAATAAAAATTTGAACTAATGAATTTTATGGGATATTCATAAACCTCTCACCTTTTATCCATATACTTAATGCATGATAGTTGACAACAAATGTATTCTTTTAAAATAGATTTTCTTTCCAATAACCTGTTGATCTTCCTAAAGAAAACTTAATTATTATTTTCATACAAGAAATGAAAACTTAGTATTTTACAAAAATGTATTATATTTTTATTAAAATAATAGTACAGGATGTATGCCTAATAATATAGTATTCTCAACAAATGATTAAGTAATTTTTATTTGTGAATCTCCTTATAATTTTTATTACTTTTTAAACATTAAATCAATATTTTACAATTGTTTATGCTTTATATTCTGTATAAATAAGTTTCGGCAGTGGAAATTATAGAATTTGTATATGTAATCTAAATATTTATTAAATTTCTCTAAATTACATGTATAACAAAAGGGAGCTTTTGTGATGTTTGTGAAAAAAATAAATAAAAAATTTTGTACAAACAATGTGTATTTTATTTATTTATTAAACATATGCAGTTTACCTACACTGAGAGAAATTTAGTTCAGCATCTGAACTTTTTGAGGAATAAATATTGTAGGTCGATTTTGTGCAAACACAATACTAAAATCGAACAGAAGCAGCGCCTTCTTCTTAGGAGTTGGTATACGGAATCCAGGCTTCTGGTATACAACTTTTTTACTGTGGTGCTAATTGATCTTTCATTCCTATATCTCTGCATATGTGATATGTGTCAGAAAACCAGAAATATAAATTTTTTTTCCTCTTCCTTTCTTAAACCTAGAACAATTATTAACATGAACTCCGAGTCTCTCTAGAATATATACTCATAAATTTTAGTCTTCGTTAAATCTTCTCTTTAGATATCTGATTTACAGTATTTGTTCAATGTTTGCACATTTTAATTGTTTGTATTGTTTTGCACGTTTGGTAGCCATAAAAAGTTTATTATGACTAGTCTCATAAAAAAAGGAAAAGAAAATGCTTAATATCTAGCTCTGCTTATGCTCAGCAGTCTCCTTGCTTTCTTATAACAACAAAAAAAGGAAGTCTCATAAAAAAAAACGAAAAAGAAAATGCTTAATATCTAGCTCTGCTTACACTCTACAAAAAAAACAAAAATGAGAAAAAAAAATTAAGATTTTTTGTTTATTTGTTCATTTAGTTCTTTTGAAACTTAAGTACTGTGTTTATCATAGATATTATGTGACCGTTGAATTAAATAATTATTCCCTCCCGATTGAGAAAGTTCCCGATTTCTTGCACAATTTCTAAATTGGGATGATAAATCAGCTGGTTCCATTGCACTTCAAATATGTCTCTAGAATTGAACTTCTTTTCAAAAAAATCCTTAAATTGCTCTCGGCCCTCCGAGAACAATTCGCATTCGTTCAGATAATGACTGATCGAGCGTTGCTCAGCTCCACACTGGCATTGACTTGGAATGTTCCAAGACCAAGGTCTCTCTGTTTTAGCCGTGATATAATTAAAATATTTCTCACGGGTCCTAGCTTCCTGGAAAAAAGGCCAATCTTTTTTTAAATTGGATTTAAAATCATTTTCTATAACGATTCTAAGATCTTCCCCGGAATAATTCGACCTTATCCCCACCTCTAAACTCAGCGAGAATTTAGCCAGCCTGTCGGCTTCAACGTTTCCTGGAATTTCTGCGTGAGAGGGGATCCATATGAATCTGATATCTTTGCCCCTGCTAAGCAGCTCCTAGATACGATCCACTATGGCATGGATTATTATCCAAGAAGTAGAACTAGCGATCCTTATCTTGATTTCGCTCAACGATCTTAGAGAGTCTGTGCAAATAACTATCCCTCTATTTTTTTAGCGACAAGGAGTATTTAAGCGCCCCGTATATGGCGGTTAGCTCGGCTTGAATAGCCGACCTACAACCAATCAACCTAGTCCCCTGCCTGTAATTAATTTCTGGGATAAAGATACTTGAGGCTGCCCTACCTCTGACCTCAGAGAAAGATCCGTCAGTATAAATTATCATATATTCGCCATATTTCTGATTGAGAAAGTCCTGCAAAGCCCTTTCAGCGTTTTTAGCCGATCTTACTTCGTAACCTATGTCAGTATCGAAAAAGTTTCCCAACTCCAACACTATGTCCTGCCATGGCCAATCAAAATCAGAGGGTCGACGAGGCCTATTGGCTAGTCTACTCATCTCGTTGATAGGATTAACATACTTTAAGGGCGGGAACTTGCTGACATATTTAGGAACGTTTTCCAATTCTCCAAGGCTTCTCAGTCTCGGAGCCACGGGGTTGTCTGACCATCCGGATAATCTAACCGCATTTCTATTCAGGAGGAGAGTTCGCCTGAACTCGAGTGGAGGCTCACCTGCCTCCGAGAGCAGAATTGGTGTCGGGGTTGATCTCATACACCCCAGTACGATACGAAGCGCCGCGTACTGTACTCTGTTTAGGATTGCAAGAATACCTCTTCCAGCGGATGCAAACAGAATTGCAGCCCATTCAAGGATGGCCCTAGTGAAACCCCTATAGACTGCCAGCATGGAGTCAGGATGTGCTCCATATGAAACCTTACAAAGAGCTCTCATGACATTAAGAGACCTTGTCACCCTGTCCGAGATATATCTTATATGCTCGTGCCAATTTAACACCGAATCTAGCTTAACTCCTAAATAAAACAGTGTCTTTGTACATTCAATATTTTCCTGCTCAATCCTAATGTATTCAGATTCAGTATCAGACTTCCCCCGGGAAAATACGCAAAATTGGGTCTTGCTAGGCGAGAAGCCACGGTGATAGTAAATCAACTGCCCGTTCAATCAATGCTTGGGCTTCATTCAAGTTGTCGTACCTGACATAGAGCAGAATGTCGTCCGCGAATTGGAGGATTCGGACTCCTGGTGGCAAGATCTTTATAATTCCACGTAACGTCAAATTAAACAAAATGGGAGAGAGTACACCCCCCTGCGGTACTCCAACCCCGCACACCCTCGGTTCCGTTTGATCCTCGCGAAAGTATAAGTTTCTTTCTGAGATCATATGAAAAACAAAGTTAATAATTCTGGAATCGACCCCGCACCTGGACAGCTCCTGTAAAACAGCAGCTGGCAAGAGGGCGTTAAACGCTCCCTTTATGTCCAGCGCTACCGCCGCCGTTCCCTGTCCCTTAGCGAATCTCTTGACAACGTCCGTCGCGAGAACCGTGACGCAGTCCAAGGCGGATCTTTCCTTTCGGAAACCAAATTGATGAGGAGGAATTAATCTGTTTTTCTCGGAAAAATGCTCGAGCCTTCTATGTACTACTCTTTCCATAAGCTTGCTTAGACATGACGTTAGAGAAATAGGAAGTTGACCCTTGCAGAGGACACAACTGCCAAAAAAAAGTTTAGACAGGTATTGGGGGAGAAAGAAAAATTATTTTACAAAACTTTTTTTGAATCAATCAACAACTGCAGAGACTCTAAAACATTCTGGTTACTAATTAAAAAATATAGGCCTAAAGTTACTTTATCAAATAATGTAAATCTGGAACAATGGCACCAGTACTTTTCTTTCCTTGCACTGTGTCTAATTTTAACGAGATTGACCAACAAATATTGGATCATCCGGTCACGTTGGAGGAACTTATCAGAGTCTTAAAAAATTGTCTTAAAAAACCCCTTAGTAACATTTTTTAAGAATAATCAATAAGTCTTTAGCATTTTTTTTAATTGTGTCTAGATGCATCATCGACGTTCACTGTGTTAAATAATTTTCTTGTCAAAGTCTTATTAATTGTTTACTGTGCTGCCATCTAGCGTTCACCGATGTAACCTGTAACTTGCAGTCGATAAACGTTGTCCAGTACACACAAATAGTACACAAAAAACACATTAATTTTCACTATTTATTACCCTTTCAAATGCTTTAAAATAATAAATTAATACTTTTTCACTGTTTTTTTATTATTAAAAAATCATATCTCCCTACCGAAAGAGTGGTACTGGAATGGTACTGAATTGGACTTGGCTTGAGTTCCACTTCAGTACCACTACCTGATAACCCATAAGAAGACATTTTTAAAGTACTTTAACAATAGTTTTAAAGGTATATAAGATCAACAAACCGTCTCTCACGATATACGTGTAAAACAGCAAAAAAAAACATAATAGTTTGTAGAAAATTTCTGT